ACTACTACTGCTACTACGGTGACGACGACGACAACTACGACTACTACGACTACTACTACTACTACTACTACTACTACTACTGCTGTACGACTCCAGGTGAGGTAGGAATCAATATCATCCACTGCTGGCACAAGCATCCCAAATTCCCACCGTCCGAGCGGCTCGTTGCCGAAGGGTAGCCTTCCGCACACCAGTTCGTAGAGCATGATACCAAGGGACCAGAAGTCCACCTCCAAGCCATAGCCTTCGAACAGGGTTCTAAACGGCTCTTGGTGTGCGATTCTATGTTTGCTAAGTTTGCTACGGTTGCTGAGCCTGTCTGAAGAGTCGCTTCGTGTCTGTGACATCGGTGGGGGGAATGTTAAACCATGGAGCTTTCCAAGCGAAGGCCTAAGCTTGGTCACTCAAGATTTATGCGCCGAGAGAGACGTCACGGCGCGAACTTGGGGCAAGTCACCCTCTGGGCTTCAGTCGTGGCAGACCTGTTCAGAGCAGCAGCCCCCCGTCACCGAAACTCTGCTCAACCTCTTTCACCCTAAACAACTTAAAAAACAAAACCATTCATAAAAACAAGTAAGCCAAAAAACCCTTCGCCGCCAAAAAACAAAAACAATAAGCTGACCACAAATCCCTTGAACCCGCCCCCCTTCTGTTGCAAAGCCTCTGTAGCCTTAGGTTTGCTCTGAGAAACCTCGGCCCACGAAGATGTCTGGTGCCATGTAGTACACCTGGGTAGAGTCTTGGGTTTAGGGTTTTAGGTCAGGGTTTAGGGTGTAAGGTTTAGCGGTTGGATTCCGACACCTGTTCATCCCTCGACTCGAGCTACCTGAGCCACGCTGAAGCCAGATGATGCTTTCTAGCTATCCCAAACCTCCCCCCTAAACCCTAAACCCGAAACCCGACACCCTAAACCCTAGACCCTAAACCCTAAACCCTAAACCCTAAACCCGACACCCTAAACCCCACATCTGCTGCTGTTGTAATAGGGTGCGAGGGCCCAGGACATGGCGGCGTCTTCCGATGGCCGAGGCGCAGTCCCGACGATGGTGAAGGTCTTGCTCTGATCCCGCATGTCCTAGAAGGGCTGGCGAATATCTCTATCATACAAGATGGAATCGATATCTATGTATATACTGTGTGTGCGTGCAGATATATAGATATAGATATAGATATAGATATAGATATAGATATAGATATAGATATAGATATAGATATAGATATAGATATAGATATAGATATGGATATAGATATAGATATAGATATAGATACAGATATAGATATAGATATAGATATAGATATAGATATAGATATAGATATAGATATAGATATAGATATAGAAAAAAGTTTGTATGTATTTATACAGAATGAAGGGCTTGCGACGTGCGGGAAGGTGGAAGTAACGAGCGTGGGGAAGCCCTCAGCTCATCGGCTTGGTGCTTATGTCTTCGACAGCATCCTAAACCCTCACTCCATCACTGCTCTTGCGACATTTAGGGTTTAGGGTTTAGGGTATCCTTCGCCAAGCCGAAGTCGACCAACTTGACGTAGCCTTGGGAATCCAGCATCACGTTCTCCTCGGAAGGGTTGAAGCTTCCAAGGCTGTCAGAATTGTCACGTGTCGACAGCGTGGCGCTTGGGGGAGGATCGCAGCTTTAGTCTTATGTTGCTCAGCCCACACTTCGTCTTCGAACGCGAGCCCTAGATCATACATGTCAAGCCTTTCTTACAGGAACCCTTATAGAAACCCTTCTAAGGTAGGGGCCTTAACAGTTAGAATAGGGTTTGGGGTATACTAGACTATAACTAATACTATCAGGACCCCCCAAAATAGTCTAGGTGATCAATGAAAGCCTTTAAAAGACTAGGGACCCTCGTCAGCCCCGCTAAACCCTAAACCCTAAACCCACCCAAACCGATCCCCAACGCCGCGGGACCGGCTTCAGGTCTCTGTAGGCCACGCCCGCCAGGTGCAGGGCTTCGAGGATGAGAACCAGAGAGCCCGTGTAGAACCTGGGGACAGCAAGAGGAGATCTTTTCTGAAGGTCTTCATAGGGTGTTATAAAGGGTTTAGGGTTTGAGGTTTAAGGTTTTAGGGTTTGGAGATATGTTTTGAAGGCCTTCCTTGGGTGTTTGCAACCTTTATCAAGGGTCCATGAGGCTTTCGCTGTGGTTTTTCGGGGAAGGTCTGGGAACCGGGTGGTAGAAAGTCTCCACCTTCGTCCTGCACTGCTCCAGGAAACTACCTAAGACCTCGCTACGAAGCGCTGTTGGGCTCCGGCTGGGCATGTCGGCGACTGGCGGTGCCCATCTTGTCCTGGCTTTCGGTCAGTTTGGGGCTCAGGCGTCGACGGGGAGGCTTCCGGTTCCTGAGGGCTTGCTTGGAGGTTCATGGGTAGTTATAAGTGGGGTTATGAGTCCCCTAATATGGGTTATAATTCTAGTTACCCTAGTTATAACCCTACTTACACCTACACATGAACCTCCAAGTACAGCCGGGCCATCTAAAGCTTCGTGGCTGAGACCTAGGAAACCCTGTAGACTGCCGCCACGGCTTGAGCAGCAATTGCCACAAAGGTGATCCATGGAAGCGTTCTGGGTTTGGGCATAGTCTAGACTCTAGAGCCATGACAGCAGGGTATTGCTGCTCTTTTGGAGGGGCTTCCGGCTACCGCAATTTATCGACGCATGCACGACGAAGGTGCCTCGTATGTTCTCAACGGAAAGGCCGCCAACCCTTGTTGCGGACAGCTCCAGAAAACCTTGGAGTCGAACCCTGAACCCGGTACCCAAACCCCGAACCACTTAACCCTGAGCCCGAAACACCCTAACCCCTGCATCCCCGTTGCAAAACCTTGCAGAAAGCATAACAGCAACGCTATATTCCCCTTAGAAGCCCCTGAACCCTACGCCGTATCTTTGGGCTTCGTTTAGAGGTCCCGCATCTGTTCGTAGAGCTGCCCCCCGGTGATGAGCTCGGTGAGGATGTACAAGCTCTTCTCCGTCCTCGTTCACGGAGTCTCCATACTGTTGATGATTTAAATCCTGCATTACCTTATGGGCCCTAAACTACGCGAATTCTGGTATATTCCTGATCATGGGTAATGCAGAATTTATATTATCAACCGTATGTTAGGGTGTTCTGCACGATGTCACTAAGAGTCCTGACAGGAGTTCACCAGGCCCTCATAGGGGTCTAGAAGGGCTTACCAGCATCATCGGAAAAGTAGGGGTTCCCTGTCAGGGTACTATCCGAATTTCTATGACTCATGTCGACATCTATGGAGACTTTCAAAACAATGTTGCACATGAACACATAAGACTGCACACCACTCGATCTGTCGATCTGCTTGCCTGTCAGAACATTAACCCACCACACGAACACTATCTTCCACGTACATGTCTACTGCATCTACCCATGGAACACAACGATGAGCTATCCGTCTTACGATACACGGCTGCATCTTCCTGTTTCTTGCAGAGAGGCCTATCATATCCTTTCCGCGTGTTCAGACAAATTGACATCATCCATCCCCGACTGCACCCGTACACCTTGCCGAGCGGCTCCAAGATGCAGTAGAGTGAAGGGTACTGTGGTGTGATTTGGCATACCTCTCCCTACACCCTAAGCTTTCAGTATCACAGTAATAACAATAATGACAATAGCGATAGGCAATATTAATCACATGGCCGGGCGACTGAAAGGACTTCACGAGCTGCAGGACGAAAGGATGGCTCGCCATGGCAAGGAGGTTGCACTCCTCCTGAATCTCCATGGGAACCTGAACGTGCGAGGTTGAGGGTGTCAGGGATGAAGCTTGGCTCAGGGTTTAGCACACGAAAGCTGGGTCTTAGGTGATGGGAACCGAATCGAGTCCCTCCGTGCCCTCCAAACAGCCCCCGACCTGGCCATCCTCCTTCTTGATCCGCTTGAGCGCATATCCTTCGCGGAAACGGCCAAGCATTCCGGGAGGGGTAACGGCACGAGAGAGCCTACCCTTCATAGACCATCTAAGGCAGCACAGGGGGCAACTCGAGAGTCAGTAGGCGCAATGCAATGGCGGGATGCTGAAGCTCAAATTTAGCCCCAACTCTTCTGAGTCTGGGCTTTCGAGGATCGGCTGTCCGATCCATCTCTAGTCGCGGAGGCTCTGTGCTCTGCCATCTTCGATTGTGACTTCATGATCTAAACACCTATGATACAGGAGCCCAAAAATAATTACCAATACTATTTTTTTTTTGGGGGGGGTCCTTATTGTAAGTATAGTACAATGTACCCCAAACCCTACTCTAATTATAAAGGCCCCTAAACCCTAAACCCTTATAGTAGCCCTGATGGAACCCTTTAGGAAAGGAACCTCAAAACCCTCTTCTAATTATAAAGGCCCCTATATCATACATACCTACTTGGAGGTTCATGGGTAGTTGTAAGTAGGGTTATAAGTAGGGGAACTATAATTATAACCCATATTGGGGGACTTATAACCCTACTTATGACTACCCATGAACCTCCAAGTACACCTCAAACCCTAAACCCTAAACCCCAAACCCCAAACACCAGGATGCAGGATCCTCCGGTCTAAAGCCTCGTTGCGATGCTCTCGGCTTCAGAGGTTCAGGATTAAACTGCCGAGGGCTTTCACTTTCCTTAAAAACCCCCACGAGACCCTAAACCTGAGACTCGTTTAGGGCTTAGGGTTTAGGATTTAGGGTTGAGGATTTAGGGTTTAGGATTTAGGGTTGAGGATTTAGGGTTGAGGATTTAGGGTTGAGGGTTTAGGGATCCACGAGGCCCTGAACCTGAAACTCTTGAGGAAGCCTTGGCCCCAGTCTGCCGAGCTGCGTGCCCCAGTCTTCACGTGCTCCACAAGGCGTACGGACCCGAAGGCCCCTACGCCGATCATGCGCACGTGCCTTTCAGGGTCTTGGGGTTTCGGGACGGCTAGGGCTCAATGCAGAAGCTCCTGTACCGTTATGCTTAGCTATGCTGCAGTCGAGCCAAAAAAGAACCGTTCCAATGAGTCAGGCTCCCTCTACCCTCGCTAGAGAACTTCGATGCATCCCCGGGGTTAGTTCGTAAACCCCAAAACCCCAAACCCCAAAACCCCAAAACCCCAAAACCCCAAAACCCCCAGCACCCTAAACACTGGTGCGCCTCAGGTTCTTCAGCGACAGAGTCCAGTCCTGAAGCTTCGCGCGCTCCCGGAGGTCCTTGGAGGAGTCCGGAAGAGGAAGCCCCCGAACCATAAACCCTTGTGAAAGTGCCTGTGGAGTTCTTACAGAACCCACATAGGAGTTTCCGAAAACAAGGGGTCCTTATAATAGGGATCCTACTATCTAGGGTACTATATCAGGGTCCCCTATTTTCAGACACCCCCACATAGAAACCTTACATGTAGAACCCTTTTTTGGAAGCCCTTGTAGAGTCCCCATAGAAACCTCTACCCTCCCCCAGCGTCGTCTCTCATCCTAAAGC